CCATTCTCGTTCTCTGTCAAGATTTTTGCCATTTGTCAGGTTTCACAGGTATGAGTAGGGCTTGAGAACCCGTTGTTGAGAGTTTGGGAGCAAAAGAAGAATTAAAGGTACATTTGAGGCCAGTTCATTTTTTCAGGGTGGTAGTGGTGGTGGTGGTGGTCGTAGGTGGTTGTTTAAAAACAACTCTCAGAAAACAAAAATAACTAACACATTTGTATATTGCTTGAGATAATGGAATCTATGTCTTCCTCCTGTTATCTCTAGTTTAGCAACCTCATTTTGCACCACATTTTAAACATATAGGCAGACTTCCTTCCCATGCCCCACCCGGCTTTTGGTAAATTCTGTATTCTTGCCAAGAATTTTAGGCAAAAATACCCCACCATACCCGCACCCTTTCTATCCCTCTCAACTAAAGTCTAGTTACAACCTCTTTATACTGAAAAACAACACCTCCCACTTTCGTTTTGGAAAAACTGAACTCCATAGGAATTTAAAATTCAAAGGCTTCAGAAATATTAGCTGACTTAGCAGAAAATGGTCTATTCAAAAATGTAAAGACTCGACCTTTACTAGGTCTTTCTATCAGTTCCTTTCCCCTCTCTTCCTAATCGGTATTCGCCTTTATGGTTTATTGATTGTAGAAAGTCACCTATTTCTTTTGTTGGTACCTTGTTAATAAAGGGCCATTCTCCAGAATATTCAACTGCAGAGTATTGACTGGTAATTCCTGGAGTTGGGTTCTGAGCTCAGTTGTGAAGGTAACCCTCCCCCTCCCTCCTTCCCCCACGCTGCAAGGCCCAGACCACAGATGGGAAGGGCTGGTTTCCAAAAGCAGCACAGATGGTGAAAAGTTTCTACTACTTTTCTTCAGCAGGGAAATGTCAAATAGCGAAGTTTAGAATTACACTATATAAATTTACTAGAATTAGGTGAAAGCAAACTGACATTTGAAAACTGAGATAGAAAATAGTTGATTTTGGCTTTTAATGGCATTTAATTTTGTTCTTTTTTCTTTTGAGACAAGATGAAAGCTTTAATGATGTGGAATGTGGAAATTTTTGGTAAGTATATTAAGCTTGCAAGAGAAAATAAGCAAACAAAAGTTCAGAGCTTTCAAAAATCATGTAAGCTATTTAGGGGATCTAACTGATTTGTGAGATTAAAACCATTTACATAAAAATCATTAAAATTTACTTCTAATTGAGAGAATACGAGAATAGAAATAAAAATTTACTATTAAATTAACTGGCTACTTGACATTCTTTGAGAGCAGAGATTTATGAAACCAGTTAGTGTATAAAAGGCAACAATGAGGCAACTAGAAGCAAACCAGAATCATTTATCAACATTGTTGACTAAATAATGATTTTTTTCTTTTGTATGTAAAGCAGCTGTTTTTTAAGGGAGGGAAAATAGTTTTAGTAGTGACATAAATAATGTAAGGAACTTTCTAGAGGGATTTTGTTCCTGAATAGTCCCACAAGCTTAATAATATAAATAGTTGAAGGCACCATTTTAACTCAGAGGAGGGGATCTTTTACAAAACATTGGATACCAACTTAGATAGGACACTATCAATATATTGTCTGTCTGAAATTTGAGAAACTTTGGGGAAATTATGTTTCAGTGGATTTTAATTTAAAAATGCAACAAAAACTTAAAAATTTTTTATTGATTTCAGAGAGGAAGGGAGAGGGGGAGAGAGACAGAAACATCAATGATGAGAGAGAGTCATTGATGGCTGCCTCCTGCACACCCCCTACTGGAGATTGAGCCAGAAACCCTGGCATGTGCCCTGACCAGGAATCCAACCTTGAGCTCCTGGTTCATGGGTCCATGCTCAATCACTGAAGCACGACAGCCCCATACAACATAAAACTCTTGATACAAGAGTGGGTCTAACATTTGCCAATATAATGATATGTTCCAGACTCTAAGCAGAGAAGTCTTGGCTAACTAATGAAATTTCTCAGGTATTTTATAAAACAATAATTGTTTCTCCTAACAGTTTCTTTTCTTTTCAAGGAAACAAACAAATATATATTATTAGAGAATACAAAACTCTATCAAGTAATATTGGGGTTTCTTGGTGTTTTTAAATCTGTCTTTCAAAGGATGATGTCTCTTGAGTTACCCACTTAATAGCTGAAGGTAAGGTAGTCTTGCTTCAATCTCTATTAGAATCAGAATGAGTGAGATTACTTTTATATTCTTTCATATTAACATTAAACTCCAGTAAAAGTCTTTCTCCTATTTTCTCCACCACTAGAAAAAGGATCCTGTGTCTGCTGTAACAAGGCCAAGTTGTGAATAGATAGAGGTAAATGAGGCAAATATGTGCCACTGACCAGGAATCAGATTCTCACTTTACATGCTACTGCCATTTTGAAAAAG